ATGTGTGTGTGTGTGAGCATAAGGAGGTAATGAATTTTAGTATAAACTTAATATATCTCGATTCAAATTGCATTTAATAATCCTTCAATAAAAATAATTAATGAAAACATTGTTACAAAGCCACCGTACTTTTTAATATCTTAAACATAAATAGTCAGCCAATTGTGATATTGAGGAAAAGCTGATAGCCTTGATTACATTTTTTTATCCTTTAAGATAATTTGAGCCATAAGACAATGAGAAAGTCTGTATAGAGTAACGAAAATCTCTACCTAAACCTACAAAATTAGTTTTCAAGTGTAGAAAGTGACTAATTGAACGATACTTAGAAACTTCAGTTGTTGAAGAACCTTAATATATTAAAACAACAACAGAAGTAAGAAGGTAGGAACAACAATAAACTGGTGAACAAGGAAAGAAAGACCCAACTAACAGGAGAATTAATGGAGGATTTAATGTTACGTGTGAACAATGGACAAGATTAAAAGAAACACAAGTAAACATGTAAACAGTTGTTGCCTTGTGAACAGTAAAGACATGTGAACATAATTTAACTCTGCTGCTATTGATGATGTGTAAGTAACTGTTACCTATTATGTTTCGTGTAACAGAGACCTGCTCGCTACTGTAGCCTAACGAAATGACATAATGATGACTGTAGCTAAAAGACATGACACTGGTGACTGTAGCTTAAATATATGACAATGGTGACTTTAGCTTAAAGACATGACACTAGTGACTGTAGCTTAAAGACATGGCATACTGGTGACTGTAGCTTAAAGATATGACATACTGGTGACTTTGACGTAACAAATAACAATAAAATTCAAGTAACTGACTCCTAACACATATCATGGACCTATTGATGCCCCAATATATATTTACGATACCTAAATAACTGTCCTATCATACAATCAGGGCATATAAGTAACTGAGTTTAAGCATGTAATAAGAATATGCAAGTGGCAGTAACTTTGCGTTTGATTGACTGAAACGTAAGTAGTAATAACCTGATCAATGACGAATGCAGAATTAACCAACTTACGGTACACTACCATTGCACTTTGAAGATATAAGGTTATGTAGAGTTTAGGAGAATATTCTTCATAAACATAAAATAAAATAAAATCTAATGACGAATACAAAATAAACCTTGTATGTCGAGAAACGGCGAACAAAACTTAACTTCTACATTTCCCGAAAGAATCAGATGGAAGGTAATGTCTCTTGAAATCGTAGGTAGTGAAGAAAGTTTTCATCTATTTGCCTCTACATATTATTATTTTTTGGAAAGAAGACACATCTAGATAAAATAAAGAATTGAGTAAAATGCATCTTTGACAAAAATTTCATTGGCATATGAAAGTAGAAAGTAGACGTTTACATAGTTATTAAAAAGATCAAGTTAGAGATTTATGTAATTAAAAATAGAGACGTGAATAATTACAAAGAAATTCACCTCGCAAGACCCCCTTAGGCCTACACTTAATCATCATTGACAGTAAGAAGTTCATCACATTGGTAGAATATTCAGTAATAATTGTCCTGTTAAGTGTATATACAGGACTTGCCTACACATGCAAAAACGAAGTAGCCATAACCCACCATTCGCGTCCTGTCCTCCTCTTACCGTCACTAAACTGCGGACTCCAATGTTGTAATAGCAATAGACTGTTTTTTGAAGGTGAAAATTATCATCACTTAAGGAGAGACAAGATGAGGATAAATATTTTTAAACCTTTCTTAGTATTGACTTTCTTTAAAAACGTATGAAATAGAATGATTATTAAATGTGTTGTGTGTGTAAGATAATAGGTACAGGTACATTGATTTTTGTTCCTTTACTTCTACAGAAACACATATTTATAGGACGATTTTAATGATGTTATGTATTTTTCCTCTTATCATTTCTTTTGAGCTCTTATTTATTCTCCTTTTCTTTCACTTTCTCATTTATTGTCACTTGCATATATTTCTTTTTATTTCATCTATTTCATCTGTGTAAGATGAATATTATTAAATAGTTCGGATCACCTGAAGTTTAGGTCAGATTTAGCGTTATACTAGATTAGATTTAGGTTAAGATAATTAATCGACAGGTATGATCTTTAGTTTTTTCTTGGATATTATAAGCGCAATAGTTTGGGTTTTTGCTGTAACAAGTAAGATACTTAACTCAGATATTAGTAAATACTGCGAAGCAATGTTTTGCTTTATATGTAAAATAAAATAGACAAGTTACTTGGGTTTTGGCAACGCTTAAAAACATAGTACATATATAAATATACGCAACGGTATATGAGAGATTATTAAGAATAAATGACGATTCCAGTTGTATTATTCCAAATAATTGGTTTGGTTTGTATAGATGTAATCAGCTTTTCTTTCCTTTTTTAATTTGTAAGGACTGCTGCTTTACTTAAAAATATGGTAAGTTTTAAGCCTACAGATAAAACAGCACCAGTGATAGAGAGAGAACCTGTCCCAATAATCACGAAGTTTGGAAATATAGGGTAGTGAGTCTGTTGAATGGTTCACACCACCCATTTTCTTTAATGCTGAAATATATAGCTGATCTCTCTCTCTCTCTCTCTCTCTCTCGCCCTTAGTATTGATCTTTTCCCACTACTATATATATATATATATATATATATATATATATATATATATATATATATATATATATATATATATATATATATATATATATATATATATATATAAACAATTAAATATTTATGCACGATGATCCACCAGACAAGATTTTTTGTTGCTTGTGTTGTGGTTATGAGTAAGAGAGAGAGATGACATCTGCCAGTCTTGGTCATATGAACGTAGGATCTTATATCCCAGTACACAAAGAAATACATCATATTCATATTCTGTCCTGCATGGCAGTGAACAGCGACATCAACCCACATGAATCTAACCTATATATACTGTTAATGAATATGATCTATTCCTTTGTGTATGAACCTCTGTCCTGAGTGGCAGTGAGAAGTAATACCACCCTCAGTGTCAAGACCTGACTGAATTACTCAGAGTAGGCAAACTGTGCTCCAAGCTTTGTCAATAAATATGTTAAACTAAGAAAGCTATTTCCCAGTAGGCCTGCTCATACCCACGTCATCAGATTACAACGAGTCAGAAGAGTAATTATGTTTTGAAACTTCTAAGCCAAATACTTAGCCTTTGTGACTTGTGCAGGTCCTCTGTAACCATCCCTAACTTCTCACTTTCCTTTCTTTTAGTTGTTTATGTTAATTTAAAATTTCTAGTTACCCGTGTTAGCTTTTCTTTCTCTATTCCCTTACCTAGCATAAGCTTGGTTCATCTCCTCCCCTATTTATATGCTTTGCCTTTCCTAGACTCCTTGGGTCCCTGGATCATTAAGACTCCCTATATTCTTCCATATTCTATTTTTCTTTAGTCTGGCATGACCTCTTTCTTCCCTCGATGACTCTTCATGCCTCTATTATCTACCTTTTCTTTCTCTCATATTTTCTGTGATTTATTTAGTTTTTCTTACCTCTTTCGTCTCATTTAAAATCTTTATGCTAACCTTTATTTTTCAAGTGTCATTTTGCTCTTAATCATTTTTATTCCTCTTTCTCCTCTTCTTTAAACCTCCCACAGTTTCCCATTAACCCCTATTCACCTCTCATAGTCTTCTCCTATCCATTAATCCCTCTTAGCTAACCCCCTTTCCTCCTTTACCAGGGTCTCTGTCGACGGAAATGAGTTCATCTGCTTTTGACATTTCTTTCACCTTAGAAATAATTAATGTCAAAAGCAAGGGGGTGAACTGGTGTGTGTGTGTGTGTGTGTGTGTGTGTGTGTGTGTGTGTGTGTGTTTCTGTCTGTCTGTTTGTTTGTCTCTCTGTTTGTCTGTCTGTCTGTCTGTCGACTAGTTATATCTTCTTCAGGTCGATTACCGGGTCCCTAATTCGGTGTTGAAATGTTAGCAACAATCTTAATTCACGCAACTTTTTAATAATTTGAACATTGATATATATATATATATATATATATATATATATATATATATATATATATATATATATATATATATATATATATATATATATATATATAAACATAGGTTGTCTTTTGTTTTCCTTATCCATATAAACTGTTTTATCATATTGCCAACCATTATTGCTTAGAGTTACTCAAAATGGCGGACGATAGCTCCTGATCACCCTATATAGTTTACTTTTAGTCCAATAGATGTCACTTCTCTCCAATACCTCATTTTCTTTGAACCTGACTTGGGTCTGGAATATCATCAACAAGCCGTATGTAGTCGGCAGCGTTTTGTTTACCAAGATTACAAGAGCCCCAGCGTCAGCCATGTTGGGGGTAGGCCTAGCGTGATTTCATGGCGAGACACCGTTGGCTGATCAGCTGAGCGCAGATGGCAGGCACGACCAACGCGTCATGGTTGTCATGGTAACTGGGCGACTGCCAACCAGCGGGATGTACGATGACCCTAGCAACACACGCTCGTGTTCAACCACGTGCGTTGCTCTATGCACTTGTATTTATTCCGTCAATTTTTTCCTGTTACATTAATTCTATTTACATGATTTTTTATTTGGCTATTAGTTTCCCTCTGGAGACTATAATGAAGCTATAGAATAGTCATCATACATCTGCATTAACCTTCAGGGGAAGGAAATGTCCCGCCCCCAGAGGGACGGATTATGAGGCTCGTGATTGAGTTACGGCCCCACGCGGACGACTACAAGGGCACTTTCCAACCTCAAATTGAGAAACACTTTTATAGAGAGGATGGCAAAAGGATTGAATGCCTTCCTCGACAAACTGACTTAGTATGTTTGCAGACCATAGACCTCATCAGCATTTCCAGTAAACACATTCACAAGCATATATTTTCAAGTCATCACAGATCATATGTAGTTATCAGATCACACATCACTTACAGTTGGATTTGCCTTAAGATTAACAATAAAAAGATATCAAATAAAAGACAAAACATTCAGTAAAGTTTGTATTGCGAAGTTGTTCTCTATGTACAGACACATGTGGAGTGGCACACGAACATAAACATACTTGTCCAGTCATCAATACAATAGTTCAAATACAGTGTTCTGCTGATAGGAAACATCTGAACTTGTTAACCTCTTAGACATGAACTGTTTTGTTTATCATTAGAGCTTCTGCTGTAATTGAAAAGAATATTTACATACAGGAGTAAGCGAGGTTTTACATGTTATAAAAATCACCACTGAAATTATAATTCAACTTGGCTTCCCTAGTTTAAGTTTCAAAAGGGCAAATATGTATAGTATTTTTTGTTATTAAGGGTGGTGTTATAATAAATCCCTCAAGTATTGTTATGCCTTGAAGGAGATCTTTTCATTCTGGACAAGGGACTCTAAGGTATTCAACTAGCATAATAAAAAGACCTTTTCTTCTAATCTGGCTTAGCAAACGGACAGAGGTAGATGTGGAGTCGATTGAATAAGACATTCTATGGTTATGTCTCGCCTCAGAGGTAAGTCTTATTAGAGATATAACCGCAGGTATCTTAGTCAAGTGATGACACGCTTCCTCTCAGTTACCAGGGAAGCCACATTTGAAATCACAATCTGCTCTATCTTGACAAACTATTGCCTTGGACTATCAAGAAAACAAAAACAAAAAAATAATAATTAAAGCAAAAATTAAACTTTACTAGTGAATGAAAAAAGCTGCCGCGGCATTTGAATGTGTAAAATGTACAGTAATTATGATTCGAAATAAGTTACGATACATTGGTTGTTATTGCCTTATCATGTTGCATTTCAAGGTTTGAACAAGCGTCAAACCGTGTATATATATAAGTTGTAGCATTATCATCAAGATAATCATGGGGGGATAGGGGAGGTGGGGCATGGGGCTTTTGAGGGGGAGGGGATATTTTGAGGTCCGTTTTGGTGACTCACAGAGAAAGAGAGAGAAAAAAACCCCACTGTGGAACCCCTGGATACATTGCACATGCCTCAATAACAACTAATGTAAATACCATCACTGAAAACAATACATTGGTAAGAAAGCCAGAAAGCGCTATGCATTACTTACAAGCGTCTATTTGGTTCTGATACTGCTTGGTATAGAGTTACGTATATCTCCTCACCTTTGTGTACATGGTTACAAAATATAGAACACCTATCAATATTAAAACTAGTATCAGGGTACAACACAATTGCTCCACTAAAATCCAAGAAACGGCTGTTGCACGAGACTCATCAGGTTCCACGCTTTAAAATGGATACAGTCCGTATGTACTTTAGGTTATTAGCTTATTTAATGGATACATGTAGGAATACATCTTGATTCATGGGAACGAATAAATTAAATAGAAAGTTCTTGAGAGTAAAGCAAAAAGGAGAGAGATAGATAGATAGAGAGAGAGATGGAAGAAATAAAAAAAATGAAATGAAAGCATCAATATCGTCATCAAGTGTTTGTATAAGACTTAAAACTAATGAGTTGACAAAGCAACAGTGATTGGGTATACCATAGATTTCTGTAACAATAAACACTTTGTCCAGTAAAGTATGAAGATACCCGACTGTTGGTATAATACTCTAGGCTTTGATTAAACCTAAATTTCAGTCACACTTCTATATAAGACTACACATGTCAATACACTGGCTACAGGCTTTCGTTGGTTGGGTAAGATAAGTATAGTATACACGGCTCGTATACACGGAGTTGGGGAAAGTAACACTGAGTTTATTTCATTTATTATTACTACGAGGGAAAAACCCCGGAAAAATATCTTTGAAAGAAAGAGACATTCATAATTTAAAATCAATAGGATCATATGACACCAGAACAGAGTTAGAACAATAATAATAAAATAATAATTATAAAATAATTACAATTAATAATAATTCCCACGGCGGTCAACCGGCTGGCTGTCATTCGATAGTTTGTGGCAAGAAGGGCCTATGTCCCAGTTCACTTTTAAAAGTCGCTCTTGAACTGTAAATACACTAACATATAGACCTTACTTACAACATCTCCACACAAGGTACTATACCGAGAGACAGATCACTCACTACCTCTACATTACCAAGATCAATACATATGAAGACAGAAGTGAGAAATAGAGGGTCACAATATTAATATTATTAACATTAGCAGCTGCAGTACTTACAGAGAGAGAGTTGACGAGATCCACATACTAAACTTAGGTATATCCGTGTTTGGCTGCTGGACTATGTTGGCAATGCACTGTGGTCATAAATTAGCCTTTGGGTACTTAATCTTGGCAGCTAATATGTTTAATAGCTGATGAATTGGCTTTGTATGTGGTATGACGGGAGAAGTAACTTGAATAATGGAAATGAAAGGGAGTACAAAAGTGTTTGGGGGGGGGGGTGGTGTTGCGTCATTCGATTGCTTTCTGCAACATTTACTTTTAAAGCGAATTTGGCAACATTCTTAAAACCATGGGGATGTTTCAACACCAGCGATTGTGGACTGAAGATGGGTACTTCAGTAAGGATTATTCCCCGTCGTAATAAGATAGAAGAACAAACCTTGCTGACACCCGAAAGCTTGGGTCATAATCGTTGATCTTGTGACATATGTGCAAGTAGGATACACCGTTCGTGCAGCTAATTCCTGAATTTACTTCTGTCATGCTCTCGGTTATTTGTTTTCCCAAATCTCCTCCAAGTCAATACATTCACTACAACAAGACATCGAGTTACCAATCCTACCAGTCGTTATACAAACAATCCAAAGGTTCTTAAATTCCAGACTTCTACGTGTTGCGACAAGACACATTAACAGCTCTTTATTTCTAAAGTATCGAATTTGAATTTAGAAAAGTCTCCCCCCCCCTGTACACATAACACAGGCAGGGTAAGCGAAGATTTCGTTAGCAAAAATATATCCTATAAAAATTTCTTCACATTTATAATTAAGTAGTATACTTGCGCTGTTGTTTGTATGAGCCAATGGTAGTTGGACAAGGTCTGACCTTCCCTTCAGACCGTTTAAAACTGCATTCCCTAATTTATGAAAAATAATAATAATAAAAATTAATTAATGTTAATAATAATAATAGTAATAATAATAAAATAATAATAATAATAATAAAAATAATGACAATACTAATAATAATAACAATTACAATAATAATATTAATAATAAAAATAATGATAATAATCTCCAAGAAGGTTTGGTAATTAGGACATGTTCCTTGGAGGGCTGGCAGAACAACTCAGGAAGGACATCTGCTTCTGGTTACTTAGCATAAGACTCGAAGAAAAAATATGCATCATTGTACAAAAAACAATCTGGAGCATTCCTAAAAATAATCCTAAGTTACTCTGCCTTATATTTTACAAAAAAGGAAATCCTATTGCACGGACCTAACACCCGTCTGTAAAATATTCTGTGCATTAAGAACTTCTAGTGTTCCTAGTGGGAAACTGAACCATCTCACTTCATGCACAGTAAAGCTTAGTGTCTAGCTTTTGGCTCCTCCTGGACAAAAAAACAAACAAAGAACCGTTATTCTTTTGTTTTTTAAGAATAGAATCTACTTATTCAGATTTTCTTGTCTTTTTTTGTGAAGGTTTTCTTCTTTTATCAATAGCAACTTCAAAAAATAAGGAGGATTCGAATCAGGATGTTTTAGAGACGGACAAACTCCCTTAGCAGTGAAGAGGATGTTAAGTAAAGAAATTAACAAACGATTAAGATCACCTCATCAGCAACTTTACTTCACTATTCCCCTCTGCCTTTGTATTTACCTACTGAGTCCAATCTCAAAGAGCTTTCTTAAGCACCATTTGGGAGTGTCTAAGAAAAGACAACCAGAAAGCAGTTCTTTAAAGATAAAAACTAGAAGTAATATTAAAACAGAGTGTAAATTTTCTGAGATCTATCTAAAGCGGTTTTTTTTATATCAGTTTGTTCACAATTTTGAGTTTCTCCCAAATGCCACCTAAGAAGGCCGGCTCTCTCTACCCTTGAACCACAACAAGAAGGATAACCCCACCGTCCAGACCTGGTTCATTCTACATTCTAACTACATAAATTATGTAGACTCAGCTTTGGAAGGTACAGTTGTTGAATAAAATCTAAGTTGAAAAGCATGCTGGATGGATATGGATGAGTTATCTAAGTTTTCCTGTGAGGGAAAACGGTGTGTCTAGGATGTTGATATAGTTACTGGGGAATAAGAAGGACGGTGCATTAAAAAAGAGTATAGGGGGAGTAGGGAGAAGGGGGTGTTAAGGTAACAAGAAAGGGGAGGAGGATGTTGAACGTGTTGATAATGAATACTGACGTTATCCATCAAGATGGTGACCAATACCCATTAATCATCAAATCCTTCAAACACTCTAACAAATGAGTTACTACGTCCCTCATGATGGTCCTGACAATGGATGTTTCTTCCCTGTAACTCCTCATCTCCCTCATAGATGATCCTTATGGACCTCTCAACACCGCAGCCTTCCAGAGTTGAGTCTCCTAGTACCCGTCCTTCACAAGCCTCAACGCGCGGTCGGCAGAATAGCATTATATGGGCAACAAGTGGTGGCGCTAGGCAGACGCAGCAACACTAAACAACGGATGACGTACCCAAACAAGGAACAAAAGTTACAAAATATCATTGAGCACGAGAGATGTGGATACTTTCTGTGATATGGACTGGTTTCAGGTTTGCCCATACAACTATTCCTCCCGGAGAGCGACCAACTGGATCGAGGGATCGTCTCTGAAGATGGGCCATCTGCGTAGAGGGGAACATCCCCACTGACGAACCATTCTTGTAGAAGGTATCTACTGAGATGGGCCATCGTTGTCTGTGAGCCGTCTTCTCTGTAGAGGGGCCATCTGCACGAGAAGGACTAATGATTCAACTGCCCGAGAGGGAACTACACCGTCAAGAATCCATCTCTACGGTTGAACCATCATCTTTAAAGTCATCTACATAGCTGGTCCATCTGTATAGAGGGATCACCTCGGAAGAGAGACCATCTTTCTGATTATCATTTGTAACCTGTGTGGTATACTAGCAGTAGTTGTAGTCAATAACACCTAGCTTAAGTTTCACCTCCGCTACAATCTAGCATATATAAGATATACTGGGTTGTTCCTAGTGGGGAAACATTTGTATCGAAACTCTTATTTTATACAAACAATACCAGAGTAGGAGAAGCAACTGGAAACATTACATCAGGTTCAAACAGCTAGACTCTCCTTATGTTTTTGGTAGTGGCTAGCGAGGGGGTATGGCGCCTGACAGGTTGGTGGGGGGAGCGGGGAGGTTGAAGGTTGCTTGTCAAGTGGTTTATTCCGAAAAGAAAACGGTTTACTCATCTGGGTCTTGGAATGATTGTAGTCTTCGCTGTTGACGGTATTGTCGTAAAGGTGGCAACGAATTTGACGTCACTGCTAACGCATATAAAGCTTACACCAATAGGAGAGTGCCACGTCACTGCTGCACCCGGCTACCGAAGCCCCTTTTTTATTTATTTTTAAAATTTTTGGTACTGGCACTGATAGGCTGTTTCCCGGCTTGAACACCAATAAAACACAGAATACACTTTACACTATGGCGTCTTAACGGGACGTCGTCACGACTTACACAGAGTCACTGGTTTATTCAGTAAAACACTTTGCCAATATTTGGAGATGCACTGTACATACGGAGTACATATACGTAAACTATGTAAAATAGCACTTAATTATCCAGTATAAAATGGGCCACACACTCTTCACTGGCACTTTTGCACACCCTAGGACATTCTAGGTCAATATTTGGCAACCCGAGCCACAGCACTTAGGTCACTGCGTAGGGGACGTGGGGGTCGGGGTTTCTGAAAGGGGGTTCCCGTTCTCGACTTTGCTCTTGTTCTCTTTCTTCCACTTCATCCTCCGGTTTTGGAACCAGATTTTGATCTGTCGCTCTGTGAGGCAGAGGGCGTGGGCGATCTCTATCCTCCGTCGCCGCGTCAGGTAGCGGTTGAAGTGGAACTCCTTCTCTAGTTCGAGCGTCTGGTACCGTGTGTAGGTCTGTCGGCCTCGCTTTCGCTCTGCAAAGACAAGAAAATATATGGTTAATTAGTGATGCGAGGGCCTGAGTAAGTATCTAGAAACGAATGTCTGAGAATAATTTTAATACTAACTTTATATACACAGCGATACTGTTGATTAGTAGCTATCTTATTATTAAGGATAAATGAGGAGGATGAAGAAAGGGTGAACATACGATAGATGAAGAAAGAATGGTCACTGAAGACCCGCTGCCCCCCAAAAAAAAATCGAAGCAGAAAAACATAACTTTGGGGAGAAGGAGAAAGGAGAGATGTAAAGAAGTAGTAAAATAAGTTGGGCAAGAGTTTCTGATAATAGGTTGTGAGAACCAGAAGAGGAGGGAGAAACGAAATACTTTAGGATGGATGAGAGTGCGTAATGGAAGAAAAAAAAGGAGAAACAGAAAACAAGAATTGAGGTTGTAGAAAGTAAAATGAAAGGGGGAAAATATGTGATGAGGAAGATAGGATAGATTATCAAGCAGAAAAAAAAAAAAAGTTGCATGATGAAAAGATTGAGACGAGAAAGAGAAAAAGACAAAAGAAACGATATATTGACAATGCTAAATTAAAACTTAAATACATATCTTAAACAGGACATTAATCCATCATACAGGGAAAGTTTTGCTAGATAATTAATAAAATAATGTGGTTCTGTACAAGCAACGAGATGTTTCTGCAGTAGAATTCTTAAACCAATATATAGAGAGAAGAATTCAAACACAATCATTCACAGATAAACTCCACACACCACCTTGTCACAAGCACTAAGTTGACAAAAAAAAGTTTGCCTTCAGTATAGAATTCAATCAAAGAACTTGCGAACCAAAACATAAATTTTCTTTCAAGTCCTAAATAAAAGCCAATCAAAGCCTTTACAGTGTTATACAATTTCGTTACAAGTTCCAGCTAGTTAATGCATCGGAATTATAACGTCTTCATACACGAGTATATTAGATAACCCTCACAGAGAAAATAAGCTGGGGGAAGAGGGAAATCTTCAGATGACCTTTAAAACTTTTTCTATTTTATCATTTTTTGTTATAATATTCTCTCGCATATACTCAGAAAGGATATCAAACAATTATTTATTGCTACAGATTGTCAAATACTGGTATAGAAGTCTACAGTATTATTACGTATTGGCCAACTATTGATATCACACACAATATTTACTTGAATCTGATCACGCCTTGATATTTCCTGTCACACCTTCATCCACCTGTAAGTTCTATCGTCTTACTATACACTTATACAGCTTTTAGCTATGCCTTGATATACCTTGATCAACCTGTTGCTACACCTTGCTGTACCCTAATACACCTGTTGCTGCCCCTTGCTGTACCTTAATACCCCTGTTGCTGCACCTTGCTGTACCTTAATTCACCTGTTGCTGCACCTTAATTCACCAGTTACTAATCCTTAATAGACCTGCTACTACACCTTGCTATACCTTAATACACCTGTTGCTGCACCTTGTTGTACCTTAATACACCTGTTGCTGCCCCTTGTTGTACCTTAATACACCTGTTGCTACACCTTGCTGTACCCTAATACACCTGTTGCTACATCTTGCTTTAATACACCTGTTGCTGCACCTTGTTGTACCTTAATTCACCTGTTGCTGCACCTTAATTCACCAGTTACTAATCCTTAATACACCTGCTACTACACCTTGCTGTACTTTAATACACCTGTTGCTACGCCTTGCTGTACCTTAATACACCTGTTGCTGCACCTTGCTGTACCTTAATTCACCTGTTGCTACATCTTGCTGTACTTTAATACACCCGTTGCTACATCTTGCTGTACCTTAATACACTTGTTGCTGCACCTTGCTGTACCTTAATTCACCTGTTGCTACAACTTGCTGTACTTTAATACACCCGTTGCTACATCTTGCTGTACCTTAATTCACCTGTTGCTGCACCTTGCTGTACCTTAATTCACCTGTTGCTACAACTTGCTGTACTTTAATACACCTGTTGCTACAACTTGCTGTACCCTAATACACCAGTTGCTGCACCTTGCTGTACCTTAATTCACCTGTTGCTACATCTTGCTGTACCTTAATTCACCTGTTGCTACACCTTGCTATAATTTAATACACCTATTGCTACACCTTGCTATACCATAATACACCTGTTTCTACACCTTGCTATACCCATAATACACATATTGCTACACCTTGCTATACCCATAATAAACATATTGCTATACCTTGCTATACCCTAGTACACATATTGCTATACCTTGCTATACCCTAATACACCTGTTGCTACAACTTGCTATACCCTAATACACCTGTTGCTACACCTTGCTATATCCTAACACACCTGTTGCTACACCATGCTATACCCTAATACACCTGTTGCTACACCTTGCTATACCCTAATACACCTGTTGCTACACCTTGCTATATCCTAATACACCTGTTGCTACACCTTGCTATATCCTAATACACCTTTTCTTGCCTTGTTATGTATTCCAAACCTGTAACACATCTGTATTCCACACCACTAACACATCTGTATTCCACACCTCTAACACACCTGTATACCACACCTCCAACACACCTGTATTCCACACCTCTAACACCCCTGCATTCCATACCTCTAACACACCTGTATACCACACCTCTCACATACCTGTATACCACGCCTCCAACACACCTGTATACCACACCTCCAACACACCTGTATACCACACCTCCAACACATCTGTATTCCACACCTTTAACACCCATGTGATATGAAAACCATCAACAAATGAACAACTAGTAATAGCAGAATCACATCCAACTAAAAGACTATCTCTCCTTTAAGATGACAATAGAGATCAGGTTATAAATATCCATTAGAGAATCTCCAAGACTAGATAATTAACACAGCAGGAAAGTCTTAAATGTGTATGACAGTCGACCACCAGGCCACGGGGGTAAGGGGGTCTATGATAGCTTTGAATATCGAGTGATTATCTAAGTAGTCGAGTGAGAGATTTTATATTTTTTTTTTACCTTTGAAATACTTGTAACTCCCACACGGAAAACTCTTACAGACGAGAGCACACAGGAGATGCAGCTGGATTGTTATTTTATTCATTACGAACTGTTATAATGTTCCCAAGAAAGGTACTTACACAATAATGACGAATTTATTATACTAACATCTTACTCAACTCGTAAATAGTTTCTCACTGTCATTTTCAGTATTATTTGTATTATCATTAACGTATTGCTTCTGGGCAGTTGTTGTTCCTGTTCTTATTTTATTTTTTTAAGTTATAGTGAGTGTAACATTTGTCTGTTTTACTTCCTGTGCCCATTACATAAGTCAGAGATCTGGACTAAGTTTCATGAGTTATAGTGTGTTGGGATCGTCTCGTACATGACCGACTTTTATGTTGGAGTTTTCATAAGTGATCGAGTGAAGGTGTATGTGTATTTCTGTATCAATAAACATTTAAACGCTACATGTGTACGACCAAAGTTTAGTCGTAAATGTATATCGACCATCACACTGTTCAATCTGTCTATGTCATTATTAGAAACTAGACACGAGAAACGCACAACGAAACATCGATTGTAGACAGAGGGCGGATGTCTGCCCAGCCCACCCACCGATCGCCTCACCACACCCAACCTACCCACATCCAACCCCATCAAATATTCTTCCCACACGTAGTTCACTTATAACCAGTCCACAACATCCTAGTCTGGAACATAAAGCCCCACACACACACTGTTCGCCCACTCCCTCATACCCACATCAAACCAGTCTATCCCGAGTCCATTCACCACCCTTCCCACCCACAACCCACATTCAATCCTCAGACACTCAGCTGCGCCCATACATCGCTCTTCCACATCAATATCACCTAAATTCTTCCTCCACACCTAATTCATTACCATTGCACATGCACTCTACATGCCTATTCCTTTCCAATCACGCCCAAATTTCCCGACAATTAGCACGTCCACACTCTACCCAGCCTATGAATTAACCTATCATCTCAAAGTTGAAACGCCCAGGCGTTTTCTCCTCACATTCAAATCCTCTACACTGAAATCAATCCACCCACAACCATCCCGCCCACATCCACGAACTTCGCTTCACACAGCCAGGTCATGAAACAAAGAACAATCAAGCAGTGCAACCATGACCTGACGAAGCAAAAAACGAGAATACAAAAGTAATTCTTTCATCCTTGAAAATGACAGATGGGAGGTTGCAATTGCATCTCCATCTTTTTCTTGTTTTACTGTTGCTGCCCCAAGTGGAAGAAACGAAAGGAAATATGATAATGTGAGATGGCAAGTTCATCAAGGCTTTTGTTAGGGATATTCTTCCTTTATTCTAATTGCTCCTCATAAACCCCCTTATCTTTATAGCATCATACCCACACTATATATACATACAAACATACACACACACACACCCACACCCACATATATATATATATATATATATATATATATATATATTATTTTTAATTTTAATTAGGTAGTACTGAAAGGTTAAAATATGCAAGGGATTTCTGTTGGTGTTGTCTTAGCATCTTTTATTTTTCACCACCTCTAAAGTTGTTCTTAAACACCCTCTGACTCGTGTCTAACAGTCACTCAAACAAAGTTCAAAAACGTGACAAGTCATACGAGACCTCCAGGGCAGTGTTCTGTACACCACAACCATAGTACCAAGATGGTACGGGATTTATCTCATTCTCGTGCAGTGTTTATTGTTGCATCATCCTCCCTCCCATCCTGGAAGATGTTGATTGTTTTCAAGCTCGTCAATGGTCGAAATATCATGTCTCCCAGGGCCAATAAGATGAGCTGTTATATCACATTTACCGCCACAAATATAAAAACATAACAAAGACATTATAGCATCAAAGAAATACATTGAACTTAAAACAACAATTCACATTGTTGTAGCCTAAAGTATGTCCACAAAATAAAAACCCATGGCACAGGAAGATTAACATTACTTTTACAACTG